TTGATTTCAAAGGTGCTGAGGTGCTACCTTTATTTGCAAAAAAATAAAATGTTCTGTGGTCTATATAGTATGTGTTGAGGTGTGAGATCTATATGTATTACCATCTACAGAATGCAAGATATGTGTCTTTTGTTGTTGACACCTGTTAGTATTAAAAATATAAATACATGTAATTATGCAAAACAGTCTGGCTGTAGGTTCATTGGAATGCCACTTCTAACTATTGAATCCATAAATCAAACCTTCTTAATTTAAACAGGACTGCCCCTCCCCAATAAATACTTCAGAATGAAATGACTAATGCTGCCCATGGTTTGTAAGTGTGAAGGTCTTCCAAATGTGAAGGTCTCTCAAGTCCTCTTCAATGTTCCGCTGTCCAGTCCCAGACCACCCAGCAGCCTTGTGATGTCAGAGCAACTAAGCCAATGGCAGCCAGGGAGGACGTGGCACCTCTGCCCTCCCCAGCCACTTGTGATGTTAGAGCAGGTCCAGCACCTGGACAAGGATGGCCAAGGCAGGCAGAGAGGTCACTTGATTGCCGAGTGTTCAAGAATGTCGGGACAAGGTGTCTCAGTAGCCTACAAGCTGTGAAAATGCTAGTTCTTTCAAGGTTCATCATTAATGCCATGCCTTAGGCATATAGAGATATTTTATATTCCACACCTCCTGGTTTAATTCCATGTATATCTTCATTCTCAGTAAAAGTGGTAGTGACTTGATAGGTACAGCAGATAGCAAGGGATTACAGCTTTTAAAATGAATGGAGAATAGGGAGGTCCTTAGTTTTTTGTGTGCAAGTGCTTAAGAGAGGTTATGCCTTATGTATGATGACCTCAGGCACTTCTTTCTACACCATTTAACTTGCTTCCTTCCCCTCTGTGCCTCACATTTCAGGCCTATTAAAGGTTAACTGAACCCCAGAGGCGTGGGGAACTTCATATCCTCCAACATTTCTCTGATGAAAATAGGGATGTCCTATTCCATAATGATAATTTTACTATTTATACCCCGCACATCGGACTGAGTTGTCCCAGCCACTCTGGACAGCTTCCAACATATATAAAAACATTAAACTTTTTAAAAAATCCCTATGCAGGGCTTCTTTCAGTTGACCAACATTTATCCAATAAAAATAGGGACATCCTAAGGAGAAGTGGAACATTCCAGGATCAAATCAGAAACTGAGATGACTTCTGTAAATCTGGGACCGTCCCTGGAAAATAGAGACACCTGGAGGGTCTGGAATTTTGGATTGTATGTTAACATGTTTGTAAACTGTCTAGAGAGGACATTGTCCTGTAAAGTGCATTATATCTGACAGTATCTCTATCCAACTGCAGCTCCCCCACCCCTCCAATACACATTATTCTGGATCACCCCTGCGGAGATGATACAATAGAAGCAACCCTTATTCTTCTTTATGTCTGATCTAAAAATATACAAGTAGCTTTAAACATTTCCCTGTGTCTGTCTATTATTGCTCCTTTTTGAAAGGGTAACGGTTCTAGGGCTTCTCTGCACAGAGCAGAGCAGGATGAAAGCCTCTTGGCAAGCACTGTGCTGAATTCAATTTGGCATTTTGCTCTATATGCCGTTAACACTGTTGGCTGGTTTAACCATTCTTCCTTAGAATAAAACCTTTAAATCGAAGAGGCCAAGTCACTTCAGAAGCGTTCATTTTTCTTGTTAGTGTTTTTTTCTTTTTCTCTTTGCCGTCACACAACTTTTCCCTTCCCCACTTGTGCTGAATAATAGCTTTTGGCATCTCTGTTGTGTTCATTAGCCTGTAATACTAAACTGACAACAGTCGTCCTTAGAGAACCGTGGAGATTTTCTCTTGCTTGTGATGTGGTACAATTCCCACACTCAGTATAGTAAAACAGGGTTATTTGTCCACTGGCCACAGACATTGGATGCATTACACTTCCATACATTTGCAGGGTAATCCACATATGTCACGATTACGTAATTGGATGGCAGTAGTTTTATACCCTTAAAAGCTGACAGGCTGCTCTGGTATAGAACTGGTGCAAGATGGGTGTATGGGATGGTCCAGTGGCTGGGGGCATGAGCCCATTAATACTTTAGAGATGGGGAGAGTATCTTACATGTGTGTGCCTGGCAGGAGTTCTTTGTATGAGGCTTGTTTGTGTATGAGTGGTTCATTGACAGAAATAATGGCTGCAAAGTGGTGGAATGATTGTAGTGGTTGGCTGGAATGAATGGCAAGAGTGAGACTGGGGGAGCCATTGGATGAACAATGTGTTTTATGTTGGTTGGGATTTTAAATTATGTTGTCTTGTAATGGCCTCTAACTTTATATTGATATTGAATTTATGGATAGGGATACTGTTTGTTTGTTTATCTGCTTTTCTGTTTCTCAGTGCAAATCACTTGTCATCACTTTTACTTCATTTATTGTGCTTATATATATATATATATATATGTATCTTTATCTTCTGTAAACTGCTTTGAGATCTCCAGAGAGTAAGGGCTTTATAAATGTTAATAATAATTAATAATTATGGCAATAGTAATAGCAATAATATCCTATATATGTCCACTCAGAAGTCAGCCTCAAATTCAAAGGAGCATCCTCTAAAAGGAGTATAGTATTGCTGCCTAAATAATAAACGTTTATTGATGACTTACGTATTTGGCTCAGTACAAGATGAGATGTGGTGCTCCATTTGCACCATCACTTCTTTCTTTTACAGTTAACCGGTAACGGACAAGTTGAATACACCTTTTTTGTTAAACTCATATGTCAGTTCAAGGAAACTTGTTAAATCATTCTTGATTTAATTGTAAAACTGCAATGGGAACGGTTTTCCTTACTGCTGGAGGTATAAAACCATAAATGCTCTTGTTCTGTTCCAAAACTTATATAGAAGGAAGCAGAACTGGTTCAGTGACTACATACTGAATAAATAAAAATGTCAAAAATCCAATATGCATAGTTTGACATCCACGGTTGCTCACAGCCTTTGATGAAGGCTGTTTTGAGGAATTGGCCGCCTTTCTGAAGTGACCTGCCAGCAAGCCCTGTAGCCTTATATTTGTTTGTCATTGGCACAGAAGTGTATTTAGAAAACTCACCTGGTTGCCATAGGGGACAATGCCATGCAGTTGAGTGAGCAGGCTGGAGGAGATGGGTGGATTGCTCTACTCCTCTTCCGCCAATCCACCTGGACCTTCAGGAGTTTGGGGATGCTCTAACAGCAGTTAGGATGGAGGACAAGCTGCTGGTGATTCAACATCACTCCCCACTTTGGCAATGCATTCTTAGAGCCTAGTTTTGCCATAGGAGCTTCTCCTAGGTACGGGCAGAGGATATTGATGGCTAGACCTTGATTGCCAACATTGTATGTCCTGTAGTAAGGCTCTTGAGGCATTTCTGCTCAGTGACCTGATACTCACTACCAACTCATTTTTTAAAAAAAGAGAATTTGGTTTCTTACTTTAGTTTCCCATGCTTTTTTAAAACACTGCATGGGTTTCGATTGAGTGATATCACTGATTCTGTGATGCTGTTCTGCCATAACTCCTTCCCACCCGTACCCTTTTGTCTGTCTCTCTCTATTGGTTGTGAATTTGCTTTAGAGCTCAAGCCGGGTATTCGCTCCTTCCAATTGTTAGGGAATAATTTAACACTGAACTTCCCTGGAGCTGAGTGTATACATGTGCAAAGTTCTTTCAAGCAGATTCCTTGATGCAAAATGAATTATTGAATATTATATAATATATTCGAGACCTGCTGCTGCTGCTCAAGGCCTGAATAACTAGAATTTTGGGGTTTTCTGTTTGAGACTTTTGGCATGTTGAATTAATCCCACTGGCTAGAAAGGTTGACTTTGATGACACTGCTTATAATGGATCAGCTGCAAGTACTTTTTGGGGGGTCTTTGATAGGAGTTGTTTTTCCTACAGTAACAAAAGGGAGCACCTCTTATCATATCACTTTAGGAGATAAATTACTTCATTGGGTGATACTTTTCTCCGTCCATCACTCAAAACTTTTCTGATTTCTAATGTACTTTAAAGCAAGATCTGAAGCCTTCAAATGGCTGATATGACAGGAATGTTTTAAAATTACGTTTCTATGAAGCTGGCGTGTGCAAGCTCTGTTGAAACAGACTTCATGATGTGCTATAAATGATACATTTCCTGCCACATTTATTCCAGATAATCTCCTGCAAGAATGAGCAAACAGCTTGATATATGGGGGAAAGATTGGGATGATGGAAGAACAGCAGCTTTGGAAAGCCCTGAGGAGCAATATGAATAGAGTAGTCATCCAGCACTGGTTAAAGAAGAAAGGGCTTTCCTTCCTGAAATTAGCTAGAATCCAGGAGTGCTCAGGCACATTCACCGGACAATATGAACCATCCCAGCCAGCGGGTTCCATTCTGATGGTTGTTAGGGACTGGCTCAGGGCAAAGACTGGCTTTCACCTGAACCTAGACCAGGAATAAGGAACCAGTGGCCCTCTATAAGTTGTTAGACTCCAAGAACAATCATCCCTGCCCATTGACCATGCTGCCTGTGTTTGGCAGGGGTTGGGTCCTACTGCATCTGGAATGCCCCAGGTTTTGCACTGCTCTCCCATACCTTCTAACTCAGGGTCCTTAGGATTAATGCCTTGAGCTGGATACTTTGGAGAAGCTGTAGTCCGACATGCAGCAAACAGAAAGTATTGACTAGGTAAAAGTAGTAAGCCAAGTTCCTAATGTCTGTACTAGGTTGGGCCATTCCAAAGGCTTCATGCTACTTGTCTATTGCAAAGGGGGATGTTATAAAATGTTGTTCTCTCCTGTATCTGAAGAAGGTCCTGAGGCTTTAGCACCCATCAGCCCAGGTATACTCTCAACAGGATACACTACAGCCTCAGAGCTGTTGAGTCTGGTGCTGAAGGCCTGCAACCTTCCATTACAGTTATAAAGGTGCTGCCTCCCCATGTTAAGAGAGTAGAATTTAGCCCAGTGTTTCCCAAACTTGGCTCTCCGGTTGTTTTTGGACTACAACTCCCATCATCCCTAGCTCACTGGTCCTGCCAGCTAGGGATGATAGGAATTGTAGTCCAAAAACAGCTGGAGACCCCAGTTTGGGAAACACTGGTTTAGGCAAATGTATGACTGCACCATACAATCCTTTGTAATCTAAGGGCATTCACTTTGGGGGGTTTGAGGAAGACAGGCCCATTGCAAGATTCAAGGGAGCTAGCCCTCAGTACGTTCAGGCAGAGGGAGAGAGCAGAATATAGAAAGTTTCCTTATACATTGGTCCATCTAGCTCAACGTTATTTACACTGATGGATAGCAGATCTCCAGGACTTCAGTCAGGCCCTCTCTGAGGATGCTAGGGATTGAACCCTGGATTGAGCCCTTCTGAATGCAAAGCATGTGCTCTAACACTGATTTTACAGCCCTTTACTTTCACATACCATTAAAGCTGCTCCCAGATCTTCTGCCGATAGGTCATATTCTATTGTTTTGCATGACAATAAAAAAATCAGTCACACTATTTCATATCTTTCTATGGAAGATTTATTTCCCCCATAGTCTCTGAAGTGCAGGGAATCTGCTCTTCAGTGAAGTTTGGGTGGTACTACAAATTCCCACTCACCAAGTAAAAAGTGTAGCTAGTGAACAGCATATTCCAACACTGATCACACTTGCGGGAGGAAATAAATTCCTAAGACATACTAAATGGCACCCTGAACTGCACTTTAAATGAAAGAGCTGCTGTTCTGCAAGCTGCTGAATACTAGAAGGCTAGAATCATAAGGCTGCAATAGCCTTCAGTATACTTAGGTTTAAATTAGTTTTTAAAATCTCATGGCTGAGGAGAGCATTTAATTCTGCATATGGTTCAGGCACTGTTAGATATGCAGTTAAAAGGAGAGAAATATTGGAGCCTGGAGTATAATACTCTCCAGAGAGTAAAGAGAAAACTAATGCCAAACTCGGGGGGGATCACCCCAGCAGAGGCTGGATTTGCTCGGATAGAAGCGTTTTCTGAAAGCTGGTGTCTTCTTGTGAGCAAATAGGCCGATAGCCCACAGTTTCAAAATATGTACACAAGACTAAGAATTATCTCCGGTAGAATCTGGTGGAGATGCAACACTGGAATGGTTCAGGCATAACATTTTTGATCCTTGAAATCATGTGTTGGCAGATCAGGAGCTAGCCCTCTGCTTGCATGCTCCCGCTTCCCCCATGTGCAGCTTCCTGCCTGATTTAATCAAGCCATAGTTTGATTAATCAAGCCATCTCAAACTGTAGATTGTGCAAACCCTCCAAACCAGGAGTGAAAACAGGATCAAACTGTTGAATTGCAGCTTTTAGGGTGCAGGCAGCTGTAGGTCTTAAAAGAACAGCAGAGCAACCACCCTATCTGGAGCCCAGCCATCCATTCTCAGCTTGCTCTTGGCTTACCACTTGTGGTCTGTCTGATGGAGACAAATCATGAGCCTTGGTTTGGAATGTAACACTAAGCCAAACCATGACTTAGCTCCAGCTAGCATGGGAGGACCACAGCCGGAGGCGATGTGAAGCAGCCACAGTCTTTGCTGCGAGTACTCACACACTCATGCATTCATGCTTAGCCATGGGTTTGGCTTGGCATTGTGTGCAAACCGGGTCAAAGTGTTGTTCTGAAGCCAGTCAGAACATCAAAAGAGCCTTGTTGGATCAGGCTAAGGGACCCACCTAGTCAAGCATCCTGTTATCGCAGTGGCCAACCAGATGCCCTTGGGGAGGCTGCAAGCAGAACCTGAGCATAACAGCATCCTTCCCACCTGTGCTTGCCAGCAACTGGTATTCAGCTGCTGGGAATCGCTGCCCACAGGAGCTAGGACAGAGCAACAGGAGCTCACACCGTCGTGGGGATTTGAACCACCGACCTTCCGATCAGCAAGCCCAAGAGGCTCAGTGGTTTAGACCACAGAGGTCAATATTTCAGCCTCTCATTCTAGACGAAATAATGGAAGAAAAATCTGGTAGCCACCAGAAGACTTGGGAGTATCACTGCAGAAACAGTGTGTTTATCACCTGTTTCAACCCCTTTCGCATCCACCAAATCCCCTAAATAGCTCCTTGATATTGCGAGCTGTGTGTGAATGGGGCACATTTTCTATCTGGCCTGGGCTGAATAAATAAGCATATGATATCACAGCAGTCCACTCTAACGCCTGTCACCACACTCATTTTTCTGAAGCCACATCATGCACATGCGTGTGAGCACACGCACACACACGTCTAAAGAACAACTTGATATGTGAAAAGACTGTTGACACTTAATTAAGAAATGAATGCTCAATATGTTTAATAGACATGGTCAGGCAAATGTACTGGAGGCAACTAGGGAACCATTACTCTTTGAAGAAATTTGGTTTGCGGTCTGAAATAAAGACCAGGTAGATGCTTAAAGAATGACAAGCCGTTTATTACCTATCCCTTACCCTTTAACAGGAGTGTTATCAAAAGCAACTTTTTATGACATTTACTTTAATGACATTTTGCCATGCGCCCGTCCTTCCAGATCAGTGGCATTTCATTTCAATTATTGCAGTAACCAGTTCGGTGCTTTTTAAATCAAGTTGCATAACTGTGTTGCAAACAAAACCCACGTGACAATAATACTACATTTTCTGTGTACAAATTGCATTGCTGTTTTGTTTTTTTGTTATTTTAATCGCCACCAATCTATTGAAAGGTTTTGTGGACCAAAGGTCTGGGTTGCTGTTGTTTTGTATAAGCGGACTTAAGGAGTTTATAGGGAAGAGGAGCTTCTGTGAAGCCTTCACGTTACACAATTTCTACCCTCAGATAACATTTAAAAAGAGCATTTCATAGTTCAGAGCTATCTCTAATTATATGATAAGTAACATGCTTTGTTTCTGCTTTTCTTTTCCTCTGTGTGACTGTTGCCAATTAGCTCTTGTTTTTTTGGTCAAAAGCCATTGTAGGTTCCTTCACAGTGTTTCCCCACCCCCAACCCTTTGGAAAGGCCAGAAATGACATATTCGAGGGAATTGTTTCTAACATTCCACCGACAAAGGCAATGTGTGCTTATCTCTTGCACTTCACTGAACCATTGTTGCTTGCCTTTATCTACACGGTCCCTGCAAGGCTGTTAGAACAGGCCTTAGACCTGCAGAGCCAAGAGGCAAAAGCAAAGGAATGCTTATATTTCTTAATAGTGTGTTGTGCGCTATTAATAGACGGTTTAACAGGCAAAATGTGGTTATGGCCAGTGGCTTTGATTACTTTAAGAAGTGGATTAGATATAAGAGGCCTACCTATTCCAGCATCCTGTACTCCCAGTGGCATAAATGAGAGTCCTGCTGTTGTGAGCTAAGCCATGGTTTGGTTGGTGTTATGACTGAATATAGGCTTGCAGTTTCTTTTGTTCCTCACAAAGCACAAGCTGTAGCCAAGGTTTGTTCTATGGCTTGCTGCTTATTGTTCTGCTTGTTGTTCTGCTCTGGGGGAGATAGAGCAGGAAGCCAGTTTGAGATGCAACACTAAGCCAAACAATAGCTTAGTTTACAGCAGCAAGACTGTGAGAAGACAAAGCAGTCATGATCTCTTCCCCACCCCAGGGAACTCGTATGTTTGCTTGTTCACTCTAAAAGTCATAACTTGGCTTAGCATTACATGCGAATGGGGCCATTGTTATAAAAGAGGCAGTATAGGTCAAAAAATTATTCTACAGACATTAAGTTGTTATAAGGACCGCTTTGCCAACATTACCAGATGCATCAGACACCCAATTTTAAAAATAGCATACCTTTCTTGTTTTTTCCTAATGGAGAACTAGTAAAAGATGTTTGTAAGCTTTGAAATATTTCATGAATTTTAGAACTTGTTTCTAAATTGATCATAGGGTACTTCTTGATAGTTTTGTGTCACCAGTTATGCACGTAATATTCAGGAAACTTTTTGAAAAATAGCAAAGCAATAATGCTTGATATTTCTCTCTCTCTCTATTTGATTCAGTGTTTAACAACCGAGTGCCCATGCAGCAGTATAGGATCAGTTAAAATCTGTTTCATCATGCAGGCGGGAGATTAAATTTTGTACGTAATGGTGTTGATTAAAAACCCCACATGTTCTATTCTCTTTATAATCGTCAGCAGTGTGTACATGAAACCTAAGAAACAATTTTGAGTGGGCGTCCACATTGCTGGTGATACATTTTTGAGACATGCATTGTTTCATGATGCAGTAATTCAGTTTAACTAGCAAACTGGAGGTTAAACTAACCCCTTTCCAGCCCTGGGAGGAGCACTTGCACGACACACCTACACACTGCAGCTGACACACTAGCGTGTCATGACACACAGTTTGGAAAGCTCTGTTCTAGGGACTCCCAGAGAACAACAGAAGTTCTGTGCAGCTAACCAACACAGATATCGAAATGATCATTGCATATTCCTTCATAGGGAGCGCTGAGCAGAATTCCAGAGGGCTCAATAAAATAAAGCCATTTTGACAGCTGCATCTAGCATGACATTATAATCTAAGCACGGAAGCTATGCTCTAAGAGATTTCTAAAGACAGTGCTTGCCACTCTCTGACCTGAGGAGACAAATATCACTTCAGCATTAAATCTGTCACTACTCTTATTTCTGGCATCCCTGCATATACATTGCGGTGGTCTGGAACCGAACCCGCAATATCTCCAAGGTATGCCTGTACTTGCTTTGCCACAATCCAAAGATACAGTTATATTAAAAAAGAAAAAGAAAAACATTTAAAGGATTTCCTGAGGTTTTATCGTGCTTGTAAGCATAAACTAGAATCAAAGTAAACAGCAGGCCAGATAGCCACCTTTCAGTATGCACAACAAGCAATATGTCAGTGTGACATGGTGCAGCCCATGTTTTGTCTCATTCAATATCTGGCTTCACCATTCTAAGTGATATTGGAGCCTGGAGGACTGATGCTCCTGTTGAGAATGCCATTACTGGAGCTAGCCAATGTGGTGCTCTTCAGAGGTTTTGGACTACAACTCCCATCATTAGTTTGGAAACCAAATCTTACGTAGAATAGTTGAAATAACTGTGAGTATGTTTAGCCTAGAGAAGAGAA